ACAGTTTAGCCACTACAATTGCTAATAGTCTTGGTATTTATCTTTCAAAGTCAGGTTTCCAACCAAATGATCTATTTTCCAAAATCCAACTAGTTTTCCCTCTCTGACTAGTTGTTGAGAGTCATCATTGACACTGCCATAGGGGTTGCCAGAAGCCTGAGCATGACAATCTTGGAATAGAGAGCCAGTTTTGGTGGAAATCCGACGAGTAGAGGGCTCTGAGAAGTTTGTAATTGGAGGGCCACAAAATAGGAAGTGCTCTAGCCTTATCAGCCATGGCAGCAGCTGAATTTTTGTTGTCCCTGAAATTCGAGAGTTTTTGTCTTTCCAAATGGATCATATGGTGGCTTGAATGGAAGAACGCCACAAGAAAGTCCCAGCTGAGGGCAAGGGCGGAGAAAAATGAGCAGCAAAGAGGCCGGGGATGTCTGCTAGGGTCACCCAAGAGTAATTGAAATCACATAGGTGTTTAGACCATAGTCGTTGGAATCAGGAGAGGGAACGGTACTAGGATTGCGATCGGAAGCGAGGGATCGTGAAATGCTACAAGATCCCTATGGTTGGGAATGATGTCCGTACAATGCACACGTTAGGGATCGAGATTCCCAAATGTTAGGGATTGAGATTCCAATCTTTTGGGGATCTTGATCCCGACCTTTTGGGATCTTGATCCCAACTTTTTGGGGATCTTGTTACCAACATTAAAGTGTACGATAATCTAGGATTATGTATACTCTTTAAAGTAGGGATCTCATTATTGGTAGCAAGCAAGCAATACTTGTGTTGCTAGTTGGCTATAAACAAAGAAAATCATCAGTTTGGTTGTTGTTTTGGTCTTTAGGGTTGGGATCAAGATCCCTAACAGCAGGAATCAGGATCCCTACAAGTGGAGTTCAAGATCCCAAAATTAAAAAATTGAGATATCTGAGAGATCCGTGCCAGGAGCGAGAGAATCGAGATCTTAGAAGGGATCGCCTACCAAAGTAGGAGATCCTGGTAACTATGGTTTAGACCCCACACTTGAGTGTAGCGGCAGTGAATAAAAACGTAAGGTTGAGTTCCTCTTCCTCTTCACATAGGACACATTGGTTGCCAAGATTAAAGCCTCTTCTCTGAAGTTGATCCTTGGTGAGGTTTCTCATTGAGATGGCCAGCCAAGAGAAAGCCTGAACATTAGGTGGATCCACACTTTATGATATATGGAGGGGCTGGGTGGCATTTGAGGGGTGATAGCAAGGTAGAATGAGGCAACTGAGAAGTTACTAGAAGGATGTTTGAACCAGATAGGTCTATATGCCCCAATACCTCCAACAAAAAGTTAATAGGTAGGTGAGAAGGCTGAGCAAGAGTTGAAATTCATTCTCTTGAGTCGTCTTCTAAATAAAGGAGTCCAAATTTGTTTTCTTTTCTTTGTTTTTAAAATCTAGAAGGAGTTCAAATTTGTTGGTTTTGGGAGGGCTGAAAGTAGGAGGCCACAACGACATTAGGGTCCAAAGCAAGGAAGAAGAGTGTTCTCCAAAGGTCTTTTAAGTGTGGTGTCTCCCATTCATAAGCGCTTCCAAAAAATATTGATCCTGAGGCCACTCAAAAGTGAGTAAGCGACAAGAAAAGATCCCGGCAAGACAATAAGCTTTTGAAAAAAGCAGAGGAGGTCGCTAGCCTTGGATCATCTGAGAAGAACTAGTTAGAAAGATTGGGGCCATATATTTCTTTGAGGACTTGGCGCTAAAGGGAATCGTGACTAGTGGCAAAATACCACCACCATTTGCCCAAGAGGGCAATATTGGTGTGTTTACAGTCATGAATACCAAGGCCACCAGCCTTGTTAGGTTGATATACTTTCTCCCAAGAGACCAAAGGGCTCTTCCTCTTGGACGGGTCGGAGGACCAAAGGAAATGTTTGAAGGGTTGCAATGGTGGAAGCGGACGTGGTGAACATGGACATGGCATAAATGGGGATGCTAGAAAGCACAGATTTGATGAGGGTTATCCTGCCCCCAAGGGATAGGAAGGGTCCTTTCCAAGAAGCAAACTTTTTATGGAATTTCTCAGTGATGGGGTCCCAAAGAGCTTTCCTGGTGTTGCCAATGCAGAGTGGGAGGCCGAGGTATTTGGAAGGAAAAGAGTCAATATCACAACCCAGCATGTCAACAAAAAAGAGGAGTTACTCATCTGGGACATGGATGTCAAGGTGTATGGACTTAGAAATATTGACTCCCACCTTGGCATCCATGTCCCAAAGGAGGGCTACAACAAACAGCGTAGAGGTATCTCCCTCCCAAACTGCTGCATTATGTGCCTTCAAGATAAAGAATCTAGCTCCCACCTCTTTATTCACTGCAAGGTAGCCCACGGCCTTTGGTCTTCTCTTCTCAAGCTTTTTCGACTCCAGTGGGTAACTCCTTCTCCTCTTCAAAATCTATTCAACTCTTTTCTCTCCCCTCCTATTTCTAAACAAGGCTAGCAGCTTTGGCAGTTGTCCGTAGTAGCCCTCCTCTGGAGTGGTTGGCTCGAGAGGAACTCTAAGATTTTCAGAAGCACCTCTAGTAGTCGAGGTTCCATTTTTTACTCTCTAACAACTCTTATCTCCTTCTGGTCTAAAAGACCATTCCCATTTATTCCTCTATACCCATGTCCTACCATTTAACCAACTGGAATGTCCTTTTGAACTTATCCCCCTCTCCCATCAGAACCTCTACGCTTTGCACACCCCCCCCCCCCCCCACCCCCCTAGCTGAGGTTTCTTAAACTGAATATGGATGGGTCCTCCCTTGGTAACCCTGGGCCTGCTGGCATTGGAGGCACACTGGAAAGCTCAAATGGGATTTATATTCCTTCTCGGAGCTCATAGGTGTGGCAGACTTCACCATAGCAAAAGCTTTGGCTATCCTTGAAGGCCTCAAGAGAGTCTCCATTGAAGGCCTAAATTACTAAGGTCTTTCCATCGAATCTGACTCAAGTAACTGTATTTCTAAGGGCTGCCACCTTCACCAACCGCCTTGGCGATTGCATTCCATTTTTTAGCATATCGATTTCCTATACAGCATCATCCAGCAAGTATCGTTCAAGCACATCCCTCGAACAACCAATGTTGAAGCAGACAGGCTGGCTAAGGCAAGAGCATTGTTGGCTCAGGTGCAACCCTTAATTTCTTAACCTCTCGCTCTCTTCACCCCCGCCCCCCTCTCCCCACTTCACCCCCTCTGCTTCCCCCTCCCCCTCCCCCTTCCCCTCTACTTCCCCCTCCCCCCGCTTCCCCACTTCTCGTGGAAAAAAAAAAAACCGAAAGAAATCAGTTTTTAAGATTTTGCTCTTCTTTTAGGGAGGGTAGAGCTCGCTCTTCCTCGTCGGCTATCACTCAAACCTTACCGCTATTTCTATTCTCCCTCCCTATCTCACTCCTCTTCCACCTCTCTTTCATAGCTCCCTCTCCTCCCCCTTATTCCCCATCTCTAAGCTTCCCTTTAATCAAACCCACCCACCCCCCCCCCCCCTCTCTTCCTCCCTCCAGTATGCCTCTCTTTCCCTCCCATTCTCAACCCCTTCTCTCCCCAGCTCTTTTCAGTATGCCTATCTTTCCCTCTAACTTTCCTTTCCCCAATCTTTCCTTGTTCTCCTCTAACCTACTTCCATCCTCCCTTCTCTCCCCTTCCCTCTTTGTTTGTATCTCTCGTCCCCTCCTTTGTAGTTGTTAAAAATTTTTTGCAAGAAATGACTAGACAGAATGCCCCCATTCACTGCCCCTACTCAGGTTTTATTGATGCCCTCGCCCAGGCTCCACCAACCCCCAGGAAGGTCTTTCAAGCACTCTTAGGAGGCCCTTCACCCCAAGCATCTTCCTTCTCTGGAGGATTATTTTCTTTAAAGCTCTCTCCCACTCAGGAGGCCTATGAACTCAAGTTTCCTCCTTCTTTGGAGGCCCATTGATAGAGACTTTCATCTTTTTAGCTTTTATTCCCCCAGCCTTAAAGGTTTTTTATGCTTCTCTCCCCCTCACCTCTGTTTTTCTCTATCCGTTTATAAGCTCAACCCCCACATGTATACTCTAAGAACCTAGCATGTGGGATGCCTTCTTCTTATAGATCTTTTGGTATATACTTTCTCTTATATATATAAATGTTAACACTTTTCAAAAAAAGGAAATATTGACTTTCATATTGAAAGCAAGTTCAAAGCACCTAAGGAAGGTCCATAGAGAGTCGACATGTTGGGCAGAGGCATCTAGAAAAACAAGGGTGTCGTTTGCACATTACCGATGACAAAGAGGAAGGCCATGCCTAGAAGGTCTGAATCCCTCAGGAATGCCACTTTGATAGAAATGAGAAATGGATCTGGCAAAGATTTCAGGGAAAGTAGCAAAAAGGAAGGGAAAGAGGAGGTCTGCTTGACGCAACCCCCGTGAAGGATAGGAGTATCCCTTAGGGGAACCATTGAGAAGAATAGTAAAGGAGGTGGTGGAAGTGCAAGTATGGATCCAATGGATCCATTTGTCAAGGAACCCCATCTTAGATAGGACAAGGAGAAGGATAGACCAGTCTACATAGTCATAAGCCTTTTCCAAGTCAAATTTGAAGATGAGACCAGGTTCCATAGAGTGGTGCCTATAATGGATTGCTTCATGAGCAAGCACGGCGCAGTCAAGGATCTGTTTATTATGGTCACCCATTAATATTGATTTTTTAACTACTTACCATCTCTCTTAATTGTATTCACAAGAAAAACCAAAGCATACCCAAACCAGAATTTAATGATGCCATAACCATATAATAGATAAATTACATCTCAATCGTAATCACAAGAAAAATGAAAAATCTACACCTGTCATAATTTTCTAATAGATAAATTATTATCTGAATAAGATAAAATAACCCATGGACACAAACTCTTTGCAATTGTAATCCACAACTGAATTATGCACAAAGCAGATCTCACCGATCTCAGAATTGTCACAGAAATTCATGTCCAATATCAGAGAGAGAGAGTTAACAAAACCCACTTACCCGGCATATTAGGAGAAAGATCAAGAGCTCGGCATAGATCAGGAACCTCCTTCCTCCTTCCAATCAAAGAAATGCATTCAAACAAATCATCAGCATCAAAAGCATAAGCCAAACCATAAGTAACCAGGAGGCGCAAAAATGTCAAAGCAGCACGTGGGGTTCCACCTCCACTGTCAATCATTGTATTAACCTTTTTCCTCCACTCTCCTACAATCTTCTTGGCCCCCACTTTAATGTCAGGATTTCTATTAGCTTCGATGATGGAAAGGCTCTCCAGTAAAAGCACACACGTTCTTGTCGTATTAGAAATTTCTTGCTTGCCTTTTGGGGGGTAAAACTCTAATACACAGTCAAGAACCAAGTTTGCTGGGTTCGGGGCCAACCTAAAAGCCATAGGAAGCTCGTATTGAATGGCCGAAAGATCGAGTTGATGGTCAATTATGAACTTGAGAAGTCCCTTTGAATCCATTTTTTTACAGACGGTCTTCAATATTGGCCTTGGCTTTGTATCGATCTTCGAATTAACTGCAGGAGAATTCTCTTGTTTTGCTGGAGTATTTTCAGTTTTTGCTGGATTTCCCACTGTTTTTTCTGGAGATACCTCAGTTTTCACAGGAATTTTTGCCATGTGCTCAGTAGGTTTCTCAGGTTTTTCCTGAATCATCTCTAGTTTTGGCATGAATTTCTCTTTCTCAGAGAGTTTTTCAAGCTTTTCATTGATATCTTTCTCGATCAATTCGAAATGGGCCTCAATGTCCTGCCATTGAAGGGGCAAGGAAGCCAGACAGCAGTGAGAAATCAGGTTTTCAAAGGCTTTGTGGAGGTCCTCTTTCTTCTTTGCTGCAACTTTCATGGCCTCTGAAATTGCATTGAAAGAGTCCATCTTTCTCTATGCAAAATCCTACCAATGACAGTGAATTGCACTGCAACTCCGAGGCAGAAGAGACAAACACTAAAACTACCCTGCAAGTTCAAGAAGACGGAGGCCCCCAATGAAGAAGAATCAAAACCCTAAGCCTAACACTAACCAATTCAACACGAAAAGACGAAAACACTGTTATAAACCCTAGCGGAACCCATATCCGCAATTTCGAAATGGTTCAGAAAAAGCCCCGGCACTAAAGAGAGGAATGGCTTTTCACCCTCGGGTGACGGAAAATGTTAAAGCGGAACGAGACTCATCTCCACCGTCCGCTACGTTATCCATGCTCTTCCCACAACGAACGAGTATCGTTAGATCCCTAATGAAATGGGCTTAGGCTTGGGCTTGGACCACTAAAAAACTATAGTTGGTACCCAACATTAGCTGTAATTATTACATTTTTCTGGATAAATGATTTTTAACGTGGAGATCTTAAATATGTAATAAATAAATAAGAAAATTTTAAGAAAGAATAATTGATATTTTTTTAAAAAGTTTCAGACAGTTGAATTTTTATGACCACCACTTTACATCAATTTCCATGTTTTAGATGGATGTGTGATGCCTCAGGGGACACAAATATAGTAATGCATACTGTGACGCATAAACCACTTTTGCATGCATGATAGCTACCATTTAAACATTTCTCCCTTAAAAGCCTTTCAAGGTATGAGTCTGTCATGAGTCACAACTTTAGTTTTTTATTTTTTTGTCCTTGGTTTGTGGGTAGTTGAGTGGAGAAAGGGTCCGCTCAATTATAATCTTGAGTTACATCTGCAGGTACTTGTTAGTTGGGACTTGGGACTGCTCGTAAGTGCCTTAGCAAGGTAAACATAAAATTTAACTAAAAACTAATTTAAGTCAATGTTTGATTTATTTCCGTTAATAATAATAATAACTTTTTTAATTGAATAGACATACTAAACAAAATTGAAAGAAGAAAAAAAAGATAATATTATTCATATTTAGTAGATATTAGTACTTTAAAAAAAAAAAAACTTCGTGATTAAACGAGTTTTGACTATTCGTCCGGTTCTCAATTTTTGGTATTTTTTCTTTTTTTTTGCTATTTTCCAAATTATTAATTTTCCTACTTCGGTCCCATCCATTCCATTTTGCATTGGCGCAACCTAGCTAAGCATACGTAGCTAATCACTTTTTTTATTATCATTTTTTTAGTTTTAGAATAATCAGCCACAATCCTACAACTTCATTTGATATAGTAAAATCACTTATCACAATTCATGGAACTAATCTCAAATAGTTGAAAAAAAAAAATTTAATTGATATAATAAAATGACGGACCAAAATTCATGGAGCTAATTTCGAATAGTTTAAATAAAAAGCTCTCCTCGCTACTTATTCAAATGGAATTTATCTAAGTTGCGTGAGGGACCCACATCGTAGAAGGATCAGAGCACAAGTCACATGTTCTTCGGGCATATCCCCAATGTGGCATAATTCTTCCCCCACCTCTAATGATCGGGCGTCTCAATGACCACCAAGTGACGGGGATTGTGCCTTATACAGATGTAAAGAGATGGAGATAAAGCTTAAAAACTACAAGAAAGGTAAGACGAGAATCAACGCATTAAGATTAATCTCGTTGTTTAGGGAGAGAGAGTGCGTGTGTTTAGAGAGAGAGAGAGAGAGTGCGTTGGTTTAGAAAGAGCTTTTGAAATGCGAGAATAATGTTAAAAATTAAATTTTGTAAGATAGGCCAACTTATATATATATATATATATATATATATGAAGATATTACAAAACACCAAAAAGTGAAAATGAATGATGATTTCGTCTACTCTCATCACCATCCAAACTTCATTGCCTGATCACAGTTGTCCGGTAATGTTTCAATTTTTTTTTTTTTTACTGATCAAAATGGTCTGAAATTTAGAATGTGTGTGACCGTACGATGAAATTTAGACAAACGGACAAATGTGACTGTACGATGAAGTTTAGATGGTGATGAGGGTAGACAAAATCACTGTTCATTTTTGCCCATACGTATTGGGAAGAGTTTTCGTGGCTTTTGAACTTCTATTTGGGCTAAAAAAATAGGTGAAGTTTGTTCAAGGGGTTATGAGATATAATACATGTGATCTCTATGCCGCCAGATAGAGATATAATTACCGGACCAATTCTGAATCGTCCGAGTCAGCTCCAAACAAAGGGGTAACTTATCTGAGTTCACTAAAATCACTCAATTTTACTATAAAAAAAAAAGATTGAAAGAAATAAAACCCGCACGTTCTCATTCGTTCTCCCGTATTTCTTACTAAAACCACAAAAATTAATATCACAATTTTTGTAGAGTATTGTATCAAAATTAGTATAAAAATCAAAATTAATAACACAATTTTTGTAGAGAATTGTATCAAAATTAGTATAAAAATTAATATCAATAAATACTCAGACAATAAATGTTTGCAATATATTGAAACTCCATAATGTACAACCCTTTTTTTTGGAAAATAAAAATACAATGTTTATAAAAAAAATATTAATTTTTTTTTGAAATTCTTTTAAAGCCAGATCAGGCCAAATCAGCAGATCCACCGATTCTAACCGGCTCTCGAGATGGGTGATATGGGCCATCGATCCATTTTTTTAACATTGCTTCATTGGTTTTCCATTATAATAGCAATTCTTGTGCTATTCCGTCCCAATATGCCGTTTGTTGAAGCGTGCTTACCTCCGCTGGCCGCCGTGCTTGGAAAGGTCATTTACTCGAAAGCCATGTAATATGTCTAAAAAGGAAAGGTTTATATAGGGTGCCATGGAGAATAAGGTGCACTGTAAAAATCCATTCAAAAATATTGTTTCAATACTGAAAAATCTTCCAATTGATTATCTCGACTTGGAGATATATGAATATGCAGAAAAAAAGATTTCACGTCCTAAAGTAGTGCATTTTATAACACATTATCTTGACCGTTCATTTTCAAGATTTTCATGTGTTTATAGGTCTATTTGATCTTGACCATTTTTAGAGTTATAAATTTGATAATTAGATATGAAAATAAATTTTAAGTCATGCTAAGAATTTTCGACACTTAAATTATATTTTATGACAAAGTTTAGAAGTGCAACTTACTTAGATTGTTTAAGGTTGTAACCTTACGCAAACCACACCCATGTTTAAAACTTAACAACTTATATCAAAATTCCAAGGCACCAAGACAAGTTATTAGATGAAATTCACATTTCCCAATAAATGAATCATATCCCCTTCTAGTGCCCTCATGCCTCAAGTACAAAATTTAGCGATCAATAATAACAATAATTAAGCTCATGCCCATAAAAATAAAAATTAAAAAGTAAAATAAAGTTCAATAGCCCAGTGATTTGCATTATCCTCCCTGGATTTTGAGAAGACTCGACTCCATCAGATCGACATCACCATAGAATACGAGCAAATCTCTAGCATTGAATATTTGAGAGATATTCAATCTCCTTGGTAACTCCACCGCATATGCATTGTCATTAGTCTTCTTCTTAATCTTGCTAGGTCTAATTTTCCTAGCTTTGAGGTAGGTGACAACAAGAAATCATTCAGGTTACATATACACCACACAATATCTCGAATATGGATTCTTCGAATATTGTCATGCAGTTCCCTTATATACTCATACATGCTTGCAACTCTGGATCTAGATTCTCACGTGCACGCAAGGGAACTAAGTCATGAAAACCTATAGGAGACATACCATAAACTACTGTAAAATGAGTCTTCCTTATTGGCCTATTTGGAGAATTATAATAATTAAACTCAAGTTTCTAGTTTATTAGAATCTCCAACAACTAATACTTTTGGAGTTAATGAATATCTACTATCACATATGTTACCTCCAATTTTTTTTTCTATGTACAAGATTGAATTGGAAATTTTAGGAAATGGAAGAAGAGAAGAAAATAACTCACTGACTGCAACCTTGGATCAGTCTTTCTTGGCTCCCTCCGCCTCTCCTTCATCTAGATGATGTCCTTCCCTATTACTTATTTGGGCCTTCAAATCTCTGATGCTAGATTCTCTATCTTGGCTTGGGATAAGATCTTACAGAGGATGCAATTTAAACTAGATCTATAGAAGCCCAAGTATTTGCCCCTGGGTGGGAGAGTTACTCTTTTGAGATCTTGCCTTCCAAATCTCGACATGTTTCAAATGTTCCTAATTCAAATGCCCATTGGCGTTACAAGAAAGATCGGGGTCACGATACACAATTTCCTTTGGGGTTCGATTGGTGAAGATAGAAAATACCACCGTCTTAGATGGGATATGGTTTGCATTCTCTAGGGCGAAGAAGGCCTAAGTATAAGGAAAATATCCCTCGTTAATGATGCTCTTTTATGTAAATGGTGGTAGCACAACCTTCACTTTAAAGATCAGTTGTGGTGCCAAGTGCTTTCATCTAAATATGGAGTTGATAGGTTTGTCATGTGGATTGGGGGAGGTAGGGGCAGTTCTAGTCGCTCTATCTTTTGGAAATCGATCTTCCTATGAAAGCCGTTGTTGGAGTCTAATGTTTGATGGTGTGTGGGGAGAGGCAATCCAGTTTCCTTTTGACATCACAAATGGATTGGGGATTGTCGGCCCAAATTTTCCCATCTATTTCTCTTTGAAAAGGTGGCTCAACTTAATGCATCGGTGGCAGATGTTTTTGAATTCTTAGGTCATCAAATTGTATGGAACCTGAATTTTCCTTGTAATAGTTTAGGGGATCATTTGTTGACGAAGTATACCACTCTGTTGAACGACCTGGTGGAAACTAATTGGTAGTTTTTTGTGAGGTCGATTTACAGATTGTTATTCCATGATAGATGGCATTGGGCACTGCCAAAAGTTGCCCAGATCTAGAAATAGTTAGTTTCCCGTAAGGGTCAGGTATTCATTTGGCTTGCTATGCAGAATAAGATATTATCAATGATCTTATTAAAAGGGGTAAGGTCCTACCTAATGTTTGCCTTAGGTGTAAGGAGGACGAGGAATCAAGAGCTTACGTATTCTTGCATTGCTCTCTGTCTCGGGTATATGGAGCTGCTTCTTCCCAAAGCTGGGAGTAAGTTTGGCATTGCTTGAGGGGGTCTTAGGTGTTGCTACTCAGCTGGCCTCCCAAACCTACCGAAGTTGGTAGTATTATTTAGAAAATTGTGAGATGGGCAATTCTGTGGGAGTTTTTTTAAGAGCAGAAAAGAACTTATAATGGTGATATTCTTCCACTCGATAGAGTTCTCCAAAACATCAACCAGTCACTCTGGAGCTGGCTAGCTGTTACGAGCGAAGGATTTGGGATTTCTAGAGTAGATGTTATACTCAATCTTCTCAATCTTTTGTGCCTGAATATCATGAAGAATCGGCTGAAATGCACTTGGTCGCCACCATTGAGGGGTTGTTTCAAGCTTAACTTTGATCATAGTTCCTTTGGTAATCTAGGTGGGGCAAGAATTGGTAGGGTGCTCAAGGATTCGAGTTGGGGGTCATCTCCGCTTTTGCTGGCCTTGTAGGGGTCGCCACTACAAATGTTACTGAACTTTTGGCTCTTCTCTAAGGCTTAAAACTAGTTTTAAGCAAAAAAATTGAGCTCTCACTGCATAATCGAAGGTGACTCGCTAAATGCCATCAAGTGGTGTAACAAGGAGCTAATAGTACCTGGGGAGCTTAGGTCGATTTCGTTGCAAATGCTTGATTTGTCTGAATGTTTCGTTGCTTAATGTTTTTTGCTTTATGTTTTTCTGGACGCCAATGCGCTTGCAGACTCTCTAGCCAAGTTGGGGGTCTCTTTGCCCTCTCTTTTGATCTCTGATGCTTCGGATTACACCGTTTTAACTTTCCACTTATTAATACAATAGCTAACTTCTGTCAAAATAATTAAAAATTAAAATAGTAATTTGTACGGTGAAAACGTGAGTAAGGGGGGTTTATAGACCTGATTTCGAAAGTTTAGGGGGATCTTGAGTGTTAGGTGGACTCGAGTGTGTGAACGGGATGAAAGTCCGGAAAAAAGGGTGGACTTCCTTTTCCCAAAACGTAACAAATCCAAAGTCTCATGAAGGCCCTTCCTATTTAAATGGGAACCATTGATTTAAAAAACGCCAGGTCGGCACGAAATCACCTGGTCCGACTTAGGAATTGCTCACCATGTTATAGTTCTGTGTATACATAGGAAACCAGCAGAGTATAAAAGCGATCTGATGGTTCTGAACACTAAAACAACGATCCTCTATAGTAAAAAAAGCGATCCAGATTGTTGAATGCATACTGGTTTTTAGCCCATTCATTGTTTTTCACGTATTATTTTTGCCAATTCACTATTTTTTCTACATAGTAAACCAATGTACAAATTGTTGATTCATTGATTCAGACTGTTTTTTTGGGTTGCCCTATCTGAGTCAAACCTTAAAATGTAAAATTATAGATGCACCTCAAAAACCCATCGAAAAAGGTGGTTTTAATGTTTAAAAAACCTCTCATTAATCATCTCAACATCGAGATATATAAATATGGAAAAAAAAAAAAATATTTTATCTCATAAATAGTGCATCTTGCAATACATTATCTAGACCGTTCATTTTCAAAAATTTCATATGTTTATAGATCTACTTGATTTTAACCATTTTTAGAACTTAAAATTTTATAATTAGATATGAAAATAGATTTGACATATTCGTAAGAATTTTTTCACCAAAATTACATGTTACGATAAAATTTGAAGGTGTACCTTAATTGGATTGTTTAAGGTTGCAACCTCTAAATCAATACAAACAAATAAATAACAGAAAACCTGAAAGCTTCTCTCTTTTCATCTCTCTCGCTCTCTCTCTCGTAACCCCAATAAATCTCTCTATAAATCAACCCCAATAAAACTCTATAACTCATGTAGTCCCCATAAATATGGCACTTGCCCTTTAGCTCACCTCCACCTCATCGATTCCCTCTCCCACACAACTCCCAAGCTAATCCACAAAGAAAATTCCAACCGACAAGAAGAGCCTTGTTAATCCTAAATGAAGCACCTCCCATCCTACCCAACACATTAAATCGAATCCCCCTTCAGTCCCCTCATGCTTCAAGTACGAAATTCAACGAACAATAGTAATTATAATTAAGCCCATGCCCCTAAAATAAATAAAATAAATAATAAAAATAAAATAAAGTTCAATAGCTCATTTAAACTTTGATTTGCATAACAAAGGCCAGATGGGTCTTAGCCCTCTCAACCCATCAATGCTCCAAACCTCTTCGATTCGCAACAACTTCAAACCCTATATTCACTATGTTAATAGTGCCAGTGAACTATGTTACAACACTCAAAACCTCTCAAAATTATGCGGCCGCATCTAGACCACCTGGCCCATTAGAGAAACATCATCATTAATAGTAAGAGGAGTTACCCGCACCATAAGAGTAGCCATCATAGCTCCCCAAACCTCCATAAGACCCTAACCCACCCATGGCTTCAGCGCCATAGGACCTTGGCCCACTAGTTGGTCTAGCATCATACAACCCTGACTCACCAGGTGGTCCAGTACCATAGGAACCTAAACCACCATTAGGTGCAACTCTGTAGGACCCTGAACCACCAATCGGCACAGCATGATAGGAGCCTTGCCCACCAGCGGGGTCAACTCCAAAGGACCCTGTCCCACCAGGGGTTATGGTGCCACACGCCCCAGACCCACTAGCAGGTCCAGTCCCATAGGACCCAGACTGAGCAATGGCTGAAGTTCTGTACAACGCTGACCCACCCACAGGTGTAACACCATAGGAACCGGACACACTAGTTGGTGGGGTGCCATACCCTGACGCACTAGTGGGTGCTGGATAAGGCAATCCACCACTCATGAGGGACTCCGATGAGTATAATTGGGTTCGAGACGTATGTGCCTGGCTCCCTTGTGAAACACTTAGAGAGGAAGAAAATGACCCAAAGCCCACAGGTCTCTCGTATGGACTCAACCCACCAAGCCCATAAGGCCCAACGACCCCTTTCTCGCCTCGGTATGAATAAACTGATGGCTTTTCGATGTATCCTGAAGCCAGGCCAAAGATGCCCTTGGGTCCGTTAAGCCCTGGTGAAGAAGCTGGTGCATGGTCTTTACGGGCGCGCTTTTTGTTCTTTCTATCAAAAGAAACTTGCTTCTTTCTTTCAGCCATTAGCTTGTCCAGATGTGAAATTCTTTTCTGTAAGTTATCACAGGAGATTCGATTTTGTAGGCTGTGTTCTTTAGCACACTTTATCACTGCCCATAGGCCAGAGATTTCTTTCGCAGCAGCCTTGTTCTGTAAGAAAGGCATCAATTGTTAATCATCATTTAAGAAAGAATAGAGAATTGAACAATACACAGCAGAAGAAAAAGGTAGGTATGCTATAGTACAACAAACATGGAAGAACATAATCTATTGTGGTGATGAAGAGAGAGAACCAATCAGGATTCGAGACAAACCCAGTGGTGGTCACCCTCTCTTCCCATTTCTCTGTTTCTTCAAATGGCAATAACCCTGATAGAAAATGCTTTTCTCCCAACTAAAAGTACAAACAAGGAATATGTTTCAGTTGCTATATAGAGGTAATGGAGTCACTAAACTAACTCAAAGTTTTGTTTCCTGATGTAAGGTGGTTTGGCAATGTTAAATCACTCTTGGTGAATCCTTAAAGGTGTCATCATTTCAAGAATCTTACCTATGTACATTTTTTTATACAATACAGCAAGGTATTTTAACCACTATCCTTCTTAAGTATCATATCAAAGTTGACCCAACCAGAAACCAAATTTCCAAATGATTCTTTATGCTTTCTTTGCTAACAGAATGATAGCTTTTGTTCAAAACCTATCTATATTGAGGCTTTAAACTCAAACAAGAGAACGGAAAAAAAAATTGAGTGGACCGATTCACAGGAAACCCTCCACAAGGTAGACTTGTCTTAGTTATTTTTTGACATGTCCTATGAGGCAATCCCTAGTAAGGACTTGATGAATTGATGCGGCTTAGACAATTCTATTGTCATTTGTTAAGTTTTTCTCAGGCCATGAAAGTTATGTTACTAGCTAACCCAGCAAGTGTTATGCCCCTTAATTTTCAATAAAAACTTAAAGACAACCCATAATTGCAAGGCGAAGTATCTATGTACTATCTGTGTACAATATAGTAAACGCCCGAAATGACCTTCATGTAATTGTAACCAGGTGAATCTCCATCAACAGGAACTACAACACCTCTCCATCATCCATCATCGTGAACAAATAGTAAAAACTAAGTGTACCCAGTTGAATGTCCAACATTAGGAATCACAGTAAATCCCACCGTCCATTGTTTGGAACAGTCAATGAATGCCTCCACTGCATGACATGTACCATAAATATGCGGGTTCTGTATGCTGTAGTTTCCCTATTTGAAAATATCAAGACTTGTAACTTTTGGGAATAAACCACAGTAACGAAGCAACAAATTTTGAGCAATATGGACTGCTTGGAGCATTCAGATGAATGCTGAGAGACTTGGCTATCATACCTGTGCTCTAACAGATCTCTTTCCACCTGACAAGAATTCATCAGCAGCTTTCTTGTTTTCCTTCATATAAGATGTCAAATAGTTAACTGGCTCGAACTTGTCAACAAGGCCAAAAGCACAAGTAAAGTTTACGGCCTCAATATACTTCCCACTTGAGATCAGTTTCTCGATAAAACCTGTCATCAGAAAGAAGTTTAAATCTGCCATAAAAATCATACAAAAGGGAAGGAGAGGAATGATGTGAGAAAGAAGCAGAAGACAAAGGGACCAAAAAACATTTAAAAAGATAACCAATTTAAGGGGGAAGAAAGCCAAAGGGGAAGATCAGGTGCCTTCACCAGGAGTAGATTAGGAAAAACCCCCAAAAAAAAAAAAGAAGAAGAAGAAAAGGGGAAGCATGCAAACGCTTGAGTATAGCTCCGCTACAGCAAGAAAATATAACAAATGAAAAACAGAAATCATAAGAAAATATCCCACATAAAAAAACAGAAATCATCTAAATAGCATCAGTTCCCATGAGCCAAGAGAAACCCTGAGCATGAAATGAACAAGGCTATCTTGACAATCCAGCTGCCACTATCCCAACTACTGTGAATCAACAGATATCTATACCAAACATGAAGATCCATGAATACAGAACACTGGGGAGTAGGGAAGTAAGGAAAACATACCAGCAAAAACAAAAAGGAGATCCAATCCCTTTACTATTGATAGCACATAGTGTAACACATCAAGTTGCAACATAAGGTGTAAACAAACTGTGACATCTATTAATATTGTGTGAACCCAAATTATACAGGAACAGGAAGGTGAGAAACAGGAATACTGCCTTCACAAAATCTACGCCAAGACATTAAAAGGGCATTAGTTTCAAAATTAGATCTGCTAATTACCCATTAAACGAAAAGGCCTGTTACAACTACTATTGCAAATTACCTACTCATAGGTGGCACTCCATGGTGGGATAAGTCACTAAAGGCCGATCCAATCACATTAAGAGAAGCTAGGCTTCCGACATCAAGGATCACTTAAAGAGGGGGAAAACTTATTGGGCCATAGGTCACTGCAGACAGACTTTTATCAATCAAAAAAAAAACACAAAAAACAAGAAAAAGATGACCAAAGGTTCAACAGTCATGATATCCCTCCACTCTGAATATGAAGGGCCATGAGAATGCTAAAACAAGATGAGGCTCTGTAAAGAACCGTAAAGATCTTCATCGATCCAACATGAGGCCCTGTAAAGATCTCCCACCCCACAGGGACCAGTGTTATTCAATGAAATCCACCGTCGAAGTTGAGCTTGAGATATCCATCTAATAAAAGATTACAAGACAAATATTCCCACAACTCCTCAAGAATCAGCAACCACATAATCATGGAATCTCCAATCTCAACAAAACCAACCATATGGAAACAATGAACCACACGTACTAAGTCCAAGCTCTGTTAAGAAACCAAACTCCTAGTGATTAAAAAGTCAGAATCAAGCTCCAACCAACCAGGAGGCCGAGCCCGAATCTTCACAGTCCGACTCAGGCGGGTCCAAGTCGGACCAGGCCATATTTATTAAGAAAAATGAAAATATAATGAAAAGATCAGGATGCTCGGGCGACTCCTAGGGTTTTCAGCCTGGAATCACCTGGCTCCCCATATGGACTGACTAGGACGAGTCCCAAGCTAACCAGGCATTTTGTAACACTGCCAACTCCATCACTACACGTTCACTAATGTTAAGCTGAGTCTGTAGCAGTATCAAAATTTCACCACACACACTGGGAATACATTACAGATCCCCGAGGCATCATCCACATATTTCGTGTGAGAAATAAAAGTTCCCAGGAGTCACACCAAACCTTCAATCTGTCCTAAAGTGACCACCTTACGGGTTATTATGCAAAACACTTTTTTCTTGATTGTCAATCATTTATCTGAACACATATACCACAATCATGATAGAATTGGAGATAAGGGTTTGTGCAGTCTTAAATCCCTCTAAACTGAAAGAAGCCTCTAGAAGAAGTAACTAAATAACAATATCATAGGATGCAGCACAAATAAATGGGCTCATCCATCACCTATTCTTCTACCCAAACCCCACAAAAACAACAATCAATCAAATACTATCCCATCTATTTGATCACATGTCTTTCTTGTCTACTTCCCAATGTGTTTCATTGAAACCTGACTATGGCTCCCAATGGGCCAGCCCTCACACAGGGTTCTCTGCTGGGCCTGGTGATCTGGCCTGAAGTTAATGCCCACAGCCTGGGCCGGGCCTGACAAATTATGCCCAAAACAATTTCGGGCCAGGCCAAGGCCACCCCTGGCCTGACCTTCAAATTTATATATAATATATTTTCATACATTATATACATAAACTTTTTGGAAATGTTTATACATTATGGGGAATGGTGATTTATTAAATACAATATGAAATGATCATTTATGAAATATATTATGTACAGGGAATGATCATGTATTATATATATAATTTATGCAATAAATACATTATCATTTGATCTGGCTCCTCACCCTAGAAACCACCTCTCTCATAACTGCCTCTCTTTCCCTTTCTCTCAATCTCCTTTGTCTCTCAAAACAGCCTCTCTTTTTCTTTTCCTCAATATTCCCCTTCCTCTCTCAAAGCCATCTTTCTTTCCCATTTCCCTCTCAAAACCGCCTCGACCCCTTTCTCTTTCAATTCCACCTCTCATTGTCTCTCTGGAGATGGGGTTTTCCCTCTGTCACTTCTACCTCTTGAGATTTACAGAGTTTTGGACAGAGAGAGATGGATTATTGTAGGTTCAAAGAGAGATGGATGCTTGACCGCCATGGATTTCTTGGAGGTTCTCATGCCTTTTGCCATGCTCTCAGGAGCCTATGCAGCTGATGCCCTTGCTTCGTTACTCTCTAATACATTGGTCATGATGCCTTATCTCACCGCTGGTTCAATGGTAGTCTTCATCTATGGCTTCTTTTGCTGAGAGGCCATGGATTCCATTCTTTAGGTTTTTTCATTTTTTTTGTTTGCTACATTCATTGATGTTGTGATGATTCATGAGACACTAAGACTTTGCTCCTTTCATTCTCTCTTGGTCTCTCTCACTATGTCTCTCTCTCTCTCTCTTTTTTTGGGTTCCATCGTTTGTTTTTTAATCCCCTAATAATTGGGTAAAGGACAAGTAATTTCACTTCATATTTTTCCCATAGTTGTGGCGATTGGGAGCCACACTGAGAGAAAAATCGAGATAAGGAGTGAGCAATCGTGAAATGCTAGAAAATCCATATACTTGGGAGCGTCGCATGTAAAATGCCCATATATTAGGGGAGAAGATCCCCAAATGTTAGGGATTGAGATCCCAACTTTTTGGGGATCTTGATCATGACCTTTTGGGATGTTGATCCCAACCTTTTAAGATTTAGGATAATATATATTCTTTAAAGTATGTATCTCTTTATTTATAGCCAGCAAGCAATGCAACTATATTAAAACTATAGTTGTGTTCCTAACTAGTCGTTATCCTCAATTTAGTTTTATCTCAGTCTTAAAGTTGGGATCAAGATCTCTAACAGTGGGAACTCAAATACCTGATAATAGGGATTGGGATCCCAAAATTTAGAAATGGAGATCCCGGAGCACGGGAGAGAGATCCTAGAGGGGGGTCGCCACCTATTTGAAAGATCCCAATAACTTTTTGTTTCTTTTTTCCCTTTGCTTATTTGAGAAATTTGTCTGTATAAATGCCCTTAGTGGGTGGAAAACTCACCATTGTTCGGTCGAGTAGGATTTGGGGTGCTCAAACCCATATGATGTGATCTACATTGGGCAGCCATGCATTTTTCTCCAAAAGTACCATTCAAAAAAACTAAATAAATAAATTATACATATATATATATATGGGAAAATATCTCCTTATTCCCTATTTTTAACTTCCATATCTCAAGAGACCCAAGAATTGAAAATATTATTTGTAAGCAAAATGTCTTCATCTTTTTTATCTTACAACCCCCTGGACCCCTTTGACCATAAATTCTTTACCCAAACATACACTAAAATGACACCCTATTCAAACTCCATCTGTCTCTTTAAAACTCCATCTCTCTCTTCGCTTATCGGTGAGTTTACCAGCCAAGGGGTTTAGCTTGAGCTCAAACACGAGCACACCTTCTCATGTGTGAGAGAGAGATGGAGTTTTAGAGGGAGAGATGGAGTTTGAATTATAGGGAGAGAGATGGAATTTTGAGAGAGAGACGATGATGCGTGAGAGAGAGATGGAGTTTGGGTTTTAGAGAGAGATGGAGTTTTAGAGACAGAGAGAGAGAAAGAGAGAGCCATTTCATAAGTTGTTGAGGTCAATAATACATGGTCAAAAGGGTTTAGGGGGTTGGAAGGTAGAAAAGATGGAGTCCATTTGTTTACAAGTAATATTTTCAATTCTTAGGTTTGATGAGATATAAAAGGTAAAAATAGGGGATAATAAGATATTTTCCCAATATATATATATATATATATATATTGTGTTTATGGCCGTGTCCAGTTTGATCTTTTCAAGCCGGCTAGGCTCGGCCAGAAAGTCTTGGTTTTGGCTCAAGTTGTGCCCAAGCATAGTCATAAAAATTTGGAACTGGCCTCGATTGACATCAGTCTGGCCTGTTGGCAGCCTTACCTTTAACCAATTCACTCTCTGAGTACCACAGCTTCATCCAATATTTGTCTCCTATTCATGACGATCCCTTTGCAATAAGGGAAAACTCTAGAATCTCCTTAGGTTGGCTCTGACACTTTCAATAGAATTATACACAAAAATATTTCTTATCCCGATCCAATGTACCAGCATATCTCTTATTCCTATTCCAAGTGCCTACCTCCATAGTGAATAAGATTGAGAAATGATGTGCAGCTTTTATGGAATCGTTCCTAAGAAAATTGTATTTAGTCAAAAGGGAGGTTGTTTTCAGGTCAAGGACCAAAGATGGCATGGGTATTCAACACATCAACAAATCAGTCTCTTTAGAAAGTGGGTGAAGGTTAGGATAGCACTCTGACCACTTTAGCAAGAGAATGGTAGCCAAAGTAGTTAAGCACTAGGGATGGATTATAGTTACCCGAATCGCCTATGAGGATAGCGATTCCGTTTCGGAATCTCGATTCGACATCTCCCCTGGTGAAGGT